CAAGGACTACTAGATCGGTAATAAGTCTGCAGTTTCCATATTCTTGCTTTTTCCTTGCTGGGAATGATCTCATGCTGTAGGACTTACCTGTCAGAATAGCACTTGGCCTCACAGGCCTGGAACCAGGAGGACTGGTGAATAGTCCTTTTGGTACCCTAGTGCTCTTTTCTTTTCAGCTTAAGTACTGAGTATGTGCTGTGTGACATCTTGCACAGAGCTTGAGCTCTCTGTTCAGCAGCCCTGCATCTGAAGTACGGCTTGACCACTGCCTAGCTGTGTGATCCTGGCAAATTACTTTTGTCTTCCTGAGCCTGTTTCCTAACCTGAAAATGCAGATGATAGCACCACCTTGCAGAGTTCCCTTGAGAATTATGTGCATAATGCGTAAAAGTGACTGAATTATAGCACCTCAATAAAAGTTCCTTTTCCTCTTAAGAGGATTCAGACTAAAGATATATTCCAGTTAAAGATTATTCTATTGTGTCTGTCTCAACACCACAACAGAACCCTTTTCCTTTTCAGGGGAGAAGGAAGAAAGAGTCACTTTTACTCTCCTATATGTAACTGATGAAATCAGATAGTGCAGTAATTCCCAGAGAACAAAAGCTTCATACAGATCTACCCCATTCTGCTATACCAAGAGGTACAATCACTGTCAGCCATACAGCAGTTGTGACAGGGTTGTCATGACCTGCCTGTGCGTAAATTTGGTTGTAACTGTTAATATTATCACTGCTTTAATTTAATTATGTGCATTGTTGGGTCTGCACATGTTGTTTAATTGCCGTTTAAATGTCTTCAAAATTGCACTATGATTCAGCATTGAAATGTAAAGTCACTGTGAATGCTGAAAGGCGCCAGAGCAGAGAAGCAGAGTATATACATTTGCTGTTAGTGAAGCAGATATTCCCATTTATATTTTCTAGAACAGCAACAAATAAGTTCTTTCTTGGACCTAAACAGGAAGATCACTTCTAGTAGATGGATTTTTGTTTTGTTTTGTAACTGAGGTACCCTTGGAAAAACATGGACGTTTATGCCTCTGAGTCAGAAAAGGATTCAGATGAGTTGGATTCTGAATATGAAGAAGTTTTTTTGGAAATAGCTTACCCAATTTATTTTGCTATGCTTTATTTTTAATATATGCCCAAGAGTGATAAAAACGTTTTTAAAAATTTGTCCAAGTGATCAGAAAGTCATGAACCATTGTTTCCTTGATAGTTTTTCCATTCTTGATGGTGCATTAGAAAGGAAAGGCACCCTCCCTGAAGAAAGTAGAAAGCAACCCTCCCGAACTCAGTAGAGTATCCAGGTGACAAGAGTCTGCTTGGGAGTCAGAAATCCATGTGTAGAGATGACATGTGCATGTAAGCACCTCCCATTCATCCTGGCATCTTGACCATTCTTGCTAGCAGTTTGGCAGATATTCTAGAGTGGGTATCCTACAGAACCAGGGCTGGAACAAGAAACCATTCTGTGGGTAATAGGAGAATGGGTCCAATGGTGCCAGCCATGCCAGGAGCTCAGAGAGAACCCTACCATGTGCTGCTCCTGTACCAGGTACCTCAGAGGTTGTCTCTAATCTCTGCAACAATCCTGAAAGATTCCACTAGGCTAGGTACTGCCTTTTTGGGAAATGTTTGCTAGGATATAACAAAAGATAAGAAACAGTCCTGTCCTTTAATTTTTAGTAATTCAGTGTCTAGGAATTTGTGCACTTGAAGGTGTTCATTTTTATCACAGTGTAACTTTAATAGTGAAAAGTTGGAAGCAGCTTAACGTCTACTCTAGGGATCACATTTGATAAATTACAGTACATCCATACTTGGTGGAATGTTATAGTCTTTAATAATCACAAAGATTATGGAACAATCTGGGAAATGTTCATGTAGCCAATGAGAAAATAATACAATGTATGTACTCGATAATTTCAAAGATAGAAAGCTGTTTATTTGAGCCAGTAGTATTAGAAAGGAATCCAAAAGAAAAAGTAATTGTGTTAGGCTAACATAATCATGGGTAGGTGTTTTTCTCCCCAGACATTTATTTTAAAAATAAAAAGACAAAGAAGAGGTTTCCAAGAAACTGAGTGAATAGCTACAATCATTTATTGAGGTATATTGAGAATAGGAATCGATTTCAGAGCATGCCTAGAATTACCCAATTGCACAAGTACCACATTGAGATGTTCGGGAAATTCTGGATTTCATCTTCTTCCCTCTCACCACTTTGAATTCATAATTATGTATTTGCAGAGCAAACATGCAGTAGATTCAGGGGAGTATCTGAGGCTTTCTAAGTAAATGATGACAGTGTAAAAGGTATTTGTCCAAATTTGCATTCATACAAAACATGGAACTGCTATGATTTTAGAATAAATGTGTTTTAAATATTTTCTAAATACAGAGCTGTTGCAGTTCTAACAATACTTGGCTAAGAAAACTACATTTCTACAATAGGCCATAATTACTCTTTGGAAAATTATTGGGCTTTAAAAAATTCCTATCTAAAGATACTTGAAGAATGAGCTCCATTTTGCACTTTCTTGCATCTTCAGTCTCTTCTGTGAGGCCCCTTTTTCCTTTCAGGGTATCATTGGTTTTTATTGTAGGACAAAAGGGCATGGCATTAAAATCTACATACGTAAGATCCTATGATTAAGTCATACAGAGGGCTTTTGCTATACATACTTATTTTCAGCCATTTGAATGTCTTTTTCTGTATATTAACTCATTTGTTGAAATTTCAGTTCTACAGTTCTGGCCAAAACTCATGATCATTGGTCAGTTGCATGATTAAATGTAGGAGATGGGAGAGGTGATAAGATTTACTTAAATATTATGGATTTGAGCTTTCTCCCTTCTATGTGTTAGGCTGTGCTTCTGGTCACATTAATAAGTGGCCGTTTTTCTGGAATTTGTGCTCTTCCTGCTTCCTTTCATTACATTAGGCAAGGTTCCACTAGATGAGACATTTGCAGTCTTAAGACTTCCTGCCAGGGTTCAGACTTTGTATTTTTGACATTGAAGCTGTCATGTTCCTGAAGCTACTTAATTAGAAACACATTCATTTCAGTGTACACTGGAAAAAGCTTGGACAGCAGAGCCAGGCACACTGGGAAGTTTGAGCATTTGTGTAGCTGGCAGCTAAACTAATGGTTTACAGTTTAAGGGGGAAAAAAATCACAGGGCATTTCCTTGCCCCTAGAAGCGAAGAGAAGCTGACTGCGCACAGCAGATACCTTTAAAAAAAAAAAAGGAGAAAAGAAGAGGAAGAAAGAAAAGACAACTCCACTTTCACTGCAGTTGTGTGTATAGTTCTTTCTTAAGCTATTATCAAATACAAAAATCTTCTAGAATAGTTAGCAAACTGAGCTGCTAATATTCAAGTCTGTTTTACATGTTCCCAAGACATATTATATTACTGCTGAGATCTGTGGTAAGCAGGACATTTTATATTCTGGGGGAAGGAAGGATTTTTGCCCGAATTTTATTTGTTGAATGGTAATGAAGGAATTGTGCCCTTTCTTATTTTTAAATGTTTGAGCAATTTAAAAATGTACATGTGATGTTTAGAAACCTTCCTTGCCTATCCATTGCTTTCAGGATAAAGCCTGAACTCCTTAGTATACAGTTGAAAGCAAATCTCTCCTATCTCATTACCCACGACTCCAGCTTTGTCCTCAAAGAGTCTTCCTTGTCCAACTGCCTCTACTCTACCAGCTTCCCCAGAAGAAAAGTATCTGGTCACCCCAGTCTGAGTCAGGTATCTTTTCTCTAGGTTCACAAAATACCATCTGCACATTTCATAGGATATATCCCCTACTGGAGAGACAGATGGAAAAGTTGCCAGTCACACCCTTCCTTGCTATTCTTTGACCTCCCTCCCCTAACCCAAAGGAAAACATTACATGGGAAGTGAGCTTGGGGATTTCATATCACTAAGTCAGCATGGCACAAGAGAAGGAATGCATACTTCGGAGTCAGATCCCAGGTCTACCACTGACTTTGTTCTGTAGTATTTGGTAAGTGATGTAACCTCTTTAGGCCTAGACCCTTCTCTGTAAAATGGGTATTGTATCTACCTTGCGTGGTGGAAGAATTTAAAGTTCCTCATATAACGTCTAGCACATTTGTTATTGGTAGGTAACATTAATGATAACATGTATACACAAACACACACACACACACACACACACACACACACTCACTCTCTCTCTCTCTCTCTCTCTCTCTCTCTCTCTCTCTCTCTCTCTCCCTCTCTCTCACCCCTAAAACCAAGACAGGACCAGTGTATCCAAAATGCCCAGGTTTTAAACCCACTGGAGTTGAGTTATTATGCTTTTGCTCAGTCACTGACTTAGGGAACCCGTGGCTCTGTGAATGAAGCAGTTGGCAGAGGCTTTCTGAATTATAGTGTCATGGGATGGCATGTGTACAACTGGGAGGAGATGCTTGCTGGCAGCTTTCCAAGTACTTTGTCCAATCAGAATGGACAGTTAGATCACATCTTGATGACAGAGGAAGCAGCAAATAGAAAATATTCTTCTTTGAAACATTATGCCCTTCATTCAACCTTAACTTCATTTTCTGTTGTAATCATGGCAATAATCGTTCCCATTTGTATTAGAACTCTGCTGATCACTTAACATATATTTTCTTTGATTCTAATAACAACATGCTGGCTCAAATCCAGGATTCCATTTTAAAGATAAGGCAACTGAGGCTGTGCAGTTGCAGAGCTGCTCTTTAGGGGCTAATCCCAAGGTTGATGCTCTTCCTGCTACCCATGCTGTTTCCAATGCTGCCCACGTTTTGAAATTCTTCTGAAGTTTCTAGGCTTGGGAACAAAATGTCATATTAGGATTTTTGTTGTGAAAGGAAATGTAACTATGCATACGTTTATTAAAACAGTTTTTCTCCAAATAGTGAACCATCTGTAATTTTCTGTCAGAAGCAACAGACATTAAAGCAGCTGTGTGTCTCTGTTTCTCTTCACAGTGCTCCCATGCCCTACCTCATAGGAATCCATTTAAGTTTAATGGAGGTAAGTTGGCTGCTTTCCTCCCCAGTTGGCTCTACCTGGGGCTTTGTTTCATTGTGTGGCGGTGGAGAGACCAGTCTCAGGAATCACAGCTCTGCACATGGGGGCATGCTGACGCAGCACCTCCCAGGTGCACAGAGCTGGGCATTTAGCTTGGACACTTTTTACTGGGCTCTGTGTCCAGGGTTTTCCCACTTTGCCCAGAGAGTGTGGATTTTCATGGGTTGAGGGAGTAAGAGTCAAGGAGGCAGGAGGAAAGGGTTCTTTAAGGGTTTGAATGAGAGAAGGAAAATGATTTGCATTTCAAAATGTTTATTCTAATCACTATAGCAATATTGCATTCTTCACGGCAGTAAATGTGATGTAAAATGTATATAGAATCATGAGGAAGGAAATTAAAATTATCCGTGATACCATTATTCCAGATTGAACCATTGTTAGCATCTTACTAGTCTCCCTTTAGTCTTTATTCCCTAAATATTTGTTTTGTATAAATATGCAAAATTGATATGATTTATAATTTTATGACTTTAATTTTAATTTCCATGGCTTGGGAATTTCTACATGTTTTTATCTACTCTCAGTAATAATTTTTAATTTACTACCTATCATTCCCACTATTTGGATATACCACAACTTAACCATTTTCCTACTGTTGGACGCTGAGGTTGTTTATAATTTTTCACTATTATAAATAGCATTTCAGTGAACATCTTTATGCATAAGGCTTTATCTGCATTTTGCCTCATTTCCTTAGCGTAGAACCCCTAAAGTAGAAATGCTTGGTCAAAGCTATCCATCGGATGCCAGATTGCTTTCTGTATGGCTGTACCAATTAGATAGCACTTCTTTTAAAGGACTTTTCTGTGCTTTTGTAAGTGTCATTAGTTTGTAGACAAGTACCCCTAAGCCCTTTCCTCCTCAGGAGAGAGCTTTAATTTGTGCTAGAGCAAAATGAGGCATGGGGAGGGGGCTTGCCTGTGTTGCACAGGAGATAAGCTCTCAGAGGGAAAATCTACAGCCATGTCCGTCTGCGGTGGTGCTTTGCATGTCTTGAAGGAAGTGCTACTTCTCTTCTTCTGTTCCCTTCATTTCACGTCGACGAGGACCACCTGCTTCACTAACTGTTGCACACTGTGCTATTGTGCTTACGAAAATGAAAGAAGTTGGTTATCGAAAAACCTGTTTGTTTGACATTGAGAATCTTGATCAAAATAGACCACAGAAATCTGCTCAAATTTCTAATTTGACAGGCCGGCCATGTGGCTCCTACATTCTGTTAACAGTTCCTCCTTGTCATCACCCAGCCCTAAGCACATACAGTACACAGTTTATGGACTATCTGGGATGATGTATTTAGATCAGATTGAAGAGATTTCTTCTGTGTTTTACCTTTGTTTGTCAAGTTTGGGGGGGGTCTATTCAAAGCTTCCGTATGAAAAATTGAAATTCAAAGTGAATGCTTTCCAATGAACTGTTAGTGCCAATTGCTGTAGAGTTTGAAACACTAATATAACGACTATTTGGTCTATCAGAGTCCACAGTTCCCTCCCGCCTGCCTCTCCTCCTGCCTTCCAGACTGCTCCAGCACAGGCTTTTTCAGACTCCTTTTTATGTCCCAACGCCTCAGCATTCTCCAAGTTTCTAGTTGTGTCTTTCTTTTCTTTACTACATGCCCTCTAGTCACCTTCTTTAAGGCCTTTTGCTTCTGCTACCTGGTCAGTGTCAATGACTCAGCTGGGATTGCAGCGCTGGTCTGCCTCTCTCTGAACTTCAGGTCCAAAGTTTGAAGTGCCAATTGGATTTCAACTGGATGTACTGCAGATGTCTCCCCGAAACAATTTATTACACAAACACACACACACACACACACACACACTCTCTCTCTCTCTCTCTCTCTCTCTAAGCCACCCTACTCCCCTTCCTGTGTTCCTGGTCCCTGTGAATGATACCACTGCCTTCAACAACAACAAAGACGGACACACTGATCATGGGTGACATGGCTGAATGCTATTCTTCCTTGTTCTCTCTAAATACTCATAAAGCTCTGAAATGTCTCTCTCCCTGTTCTTTCCTTACTGCCTTCATTGACACTTTGCTTTCTTTGATTCTTGCAAAAGCCTTATTCATTTGATAAACAACGTGAGGGCCTCTTATGTTCCAAGCATTTTGCTAGGTCCTGGAGGTATGAAGAATAGAAAGGTCAGTGCATAGTCATAATGTTGCATGGGTTGCCCTCCAGCCAGTCACTGGATAACCATGGGCCACATAATGCTTGGGAAGGAGCCTTCCAGCCTCCCCTACACGTCCCTGGGTTCTGCGCAGTCTTTCCACTGCTGTCAAGCCTTCTGCCCGATCACTGTCCCATGTTAGCCCATGCTCTTGCTAATCTCTAAACATATCCACATTCCCACCCCTCTGCATGCATCAGCCCTGCCCTTCTCCACCATTCCAAGAAGCCCTCCTGTTTTGTTGTCTCCTCTCACTTATAGTGTCTCTTGCTCTGAATAATAGCTGTTTGCTTCCTTGTCCCTCTCCATCATCCCCAGGAGCATGAGTTCTTTGGGAACAAGGACTGTGCATCATTCATTCACTGTGGCGTCCTCAGCACCTAGCTGGATGCCACACAGGTGGTATTCTTTGAGCACATGCTTTCTGAAAAGAAGTGCTGAGTGAATGCTTGGAAAGCTGTGATCTGGAGCACGTTTAGAAGCCCACTAATAGGCATCACTGTTTTCAGGCAACCCAATGCCATAATTTTACTTATAGGTGCGGGAAGTAAATTTTTTTACTTTTTATATAATTGTAAGTAATTTTAAATAAGGCCTTTTGTAGTAAAACATGCAGTGTAAAATATGCATACATTTTGCAGCTGAAACTTGAGACAGAGTTTTGCACTTACATGAATGGGTGCAGGTCTCTTCTGCTGAGCCTTTGAAGGGCGTTAAGGGAGAAGGCTCAGGAAGCACTGGCCAAGATAGATCTTAGCCCCATTGATTGACAGGGGAGGATTTTGCTGTGCTGAACTCCTGTGTAGTCAACACAAAAATAAAAACAAAAATGGGAGTTTCCCCACTCTTGAAACCAGCCAAGACACTTTCTGAACAAAGAAGTGTTTCCTGGGTGTGTAGGGCAGCCGTGAACTACCAAATTTTAGAATTCAGTCTCCTGACCTTCTCTCTTGAATTTCAGCTGAGATTCCCAGTGCCCTAGTTGTGCTTTCTGATTGGGTTTATCTAGTTCAGTTGTACCCTTCAGGTGTAAGGGATGCTTTGCTTTCAGTTTCCTGCAGGAACCTCCAGCTCAGACCTGGGGCCAAAGGAAAGCTCTTTAAGGAAGGTACTCAGGAAGGTCTATCTCTTCTTGCTACACTAGTTTTCTTACTGGCAATTCAGCAAAAGGCTTATTTTTGACTGTCTTGTTATTTTTTTCTTGAAAGCTATAGGCACCTTATTATGCCTTTGCATATGTGCCAGAATTTTTTAAACTTCAAATGAATGTGGCAGATGTTCATAAAAGTTTAGAAAAAGCTACCATAGGAAGACTTTTTAACCATTTTTATGACACTCAAATTTGTTGCACAAAAAGAAATATAAATTACAAACTTGCATTCTTATTTTTAAAAAGGTTATTTTGGGGAAAGACCTAATTCTGGTTCACGCTCTTGCAGGATGCCATAAGGTAACCTAGTCACCTTACAGAGTCCACCTTCCTCCCAAAGTGACAAGTGTATACCTGATCACCATTCTTCTCTCTCCTTCTGCCTGTTTATAGTCTCCCTCTCATGTAAGCAATCTGAGGCTAGTGGCATGTTAGCAGAATAGCCAAGGGTATTGGCATAGACCTAGTTTCTTCTTGGAGAGAATGATCGTGTTAGCTGGCAGCTAGGAAATCCCAAAACACGGCCAGATTCCACAGTGACTGTCCTTTCATTCAAGCGATCTCAATTTAGCTCAAGAGACATTTATGCAGCCCCTCTTCTGTGCCATCTCTGGTAGCAGGTGCCAGGTCATGTCTGGTTGATGGTGCTTCTCCTGTTTGATAATTAAAGACCTTCCTCCCCAAACCTCACAAACAATGCTTTGTGTACAGACCTCAGAGTGACATGAGGGATGTATCCAGAAGGTAATTTCTATCATTCTCCATGGTCGGTTGGTCAGGAATGAGAAGGGAAAGGTGACATCAGTGACATTTCCAGACAGAGGCTCAGGTGGCTTATAAATGAAGCTCCACCCATGCACAGGGGCAGTGAAGTAGACAGAATGTGGCACCCCTACTTCCTGCTCACGTGATCATGGGTAAGGTAAGTGACCTTTGAGTCTCTGTTTTTTCACCTGTAAACTGAGGATAATGGCTGTGTGTCCCTTATGGGATCATTGGAGGATCCAGGGAAATAATGCCTATCAGCTGCCCAGCATAGTACCTGCACATAAAGAGCTCAACAAAGGTCAGCACTCCTTGCTGGTTTTACTTCTTCGGTGGCCTTCAAGCCATTTCCATTGTTAAGCTGATGGCTTTGAAACTGTGTTTTAGGAGCTCTTGGGTTCCCAGGATCATCATCCTTATATCCTAGGGAAAGATAGTTTCAACACAGTTGGTTTGTGCCTGCCTCATTTTCTCCTGGTCTGCAATGCAGAGGCATGTACCAGGCTTGGGAGTGACACTTCTGTAGAATTTGACAAATGTACTTCCACACCCCTACTTGACCACTTCCTTGCTGTGCTAACTCCAGCCATGATACTTCGCCTTTCTGTATCTTACTTTCTCCCTCTCTGAGAGCGGAGTCCTGTATATGGACAGCATATCCCAGTGTCTGGCATTTGGTAGGGACACAGTATACATTCCTTTCCACAACAGAGTTCTGAGAGCCTTCTGTGAACCCAAGCACTGTGTTTATACTAGGAACTCTGTATAAAAATGGTGAACGTGATATAATCTCCACCTTCACAGGGTTTTGTCTAGACCAGATGCAGAAAAATATAATGCAATTGTCGTGAATTTGG